GTCCTCCTCCTCCAGGAGGGGATGCATGGCAGGAATTTCCTGTCATCACTCACAGCAGGGCAGGGCCAGTGCGCAGAGCTGGGGAAGCGTGAGGCCTGGAGCCCACCTCTAGCTTAGCCCTTCACTCTCCAGATACCTCATCTGGCTTCAGTTCCCTCATTTAGAAGAGGGCAAGATAATGTCAGCTCCACCTGCCTTGTAGAGTTGCTGTGAGGCGGTAATTTATGGGGAGGTGCTTTGTAAACATGTAAGAAAGTAGAATTAATTAACCACTTCCAGGAGGAAGCCCTTTGGGGCCTGTTTTATGGAAGAGAACAAGCTTCTGGCATCCTCACCATTCGTGGGGGAAAGTCTCTTTTCAAGAGTAGGCAAACCATGGCCAACCCAATGCTGTTTCCTAAGAGAGGTTCTTCTAAACAGACAAGGGAAGTTGGTGTGCCCAGTGCAGGCAGTTAGCGATTCCTCATCAGCAGAACATTTCACATCCCTGCACCTCTGCAGAAGCCACTCCCACTGCCCAGACACCTGCCCTTCCTGCCCTATGGGGTCAACTCACACTTCAAGGTCAAGCATGCCTGCCAAGTCCTCCGTGAAGCCTCTTTTTTTAATCTCCCCTGTCTCCCCAGCCCCAGCATTACTTGCCCCCCGTTTGCTCTCACAGCACCTTGAAGCCCTCTGTTAGTGACACTCTGGCTTTCTCCAAGGGGTCTCTCCCACTGCTGTGGAGACAGGGCCTGGCTCGGACTGTGTCTCAGGCAGCTCCCTGAGGGCCAGCATATGCCTGCTGTGTTCACAGCTATACTTCTCCCTCCTCACTGTCTAGGACAGCATCTGGCACAGCGTGGATGCTCAGGAAGTCCTGGCTGAATGAAAGGGTTGACCAGATGGAATCTGTGCCGCCCTAGGGCAGGCCTTCAGCCCTACCCGGGCACAGGAGTCGCTCTGCCCTGTTACTACATGTGGGCTCTGAGCCTCACTTTCATTTCTTCCTCTTGGGTCCTTCTATCCTCTCTTCACATGTTACATGTGTCACTTCTAATCTGTCTCCGGGTTGCAAAAACTGGAGCCAGCCTTGTGAGAAGTGTTTGTAAAGTGCAAAAGTCAACAGACCGAGTGCCTGGGTGCTTGCCCAGGAAACACCGCTAGATTTCAGCGTTCTCGGTTCTGGCCACTCACATCTCCAGTTTTGGTCTGCTGGGGCTGGTTCCCGAAGTGACCTTTGGACAGGTGCCCATACATGGTCCTATGAATGCAGTTTACAGCCTCACCTGGGCCCTCTGAGCTGCTGACCAGCCCTGTGATGCCCTGGTCAGAGGTTCTGCCCATATCCCATGACAGTTATAACCTCTCACTTATTTCTGATTAGACGGAAGGCCTCAGGGATCACAGAAGTCCATCTCAGATTTGTCTACATCTTTGGAAGTCTCTCAGTCCCTGGCTGGGCATGGTGGCTCACACCTGTAATCTCAGGACTTTGGGAGGCCAAGGCAGGTGGATCACCTGAGGTCAGGAGTTTGAGACAGCCTCACCAACCTGGTGAAACCCCATCTCTACTAAAAACACAAAAATTAGCTGAGCATGGTGGTACGCACCTGTACCAGTAGCCCAGCTACTCAGGAGGCTGAGGCAGGAGAATCACTTGAATCCAGGAAGCGGAGGTTGCAGTGAGCCAAGATCATGCCACTGCACTCCAGTCTGGGCAACAGAGCAAGACTCCATCTCAAAAAAAAAACGGTATCTCAGTCCCTCCTGGGCAAAAGCAGCCCCTCCCTTCTGCTCCGACACCACCTCCCTCCTGCAAGACCTCCGCCCTCACTTCCTTATCTTCACGCTCTCCTCTGCTGATTCCTTCCAACATGTTTTAAAATGACCTTCATTAAAATACATACATACATGCATACATACATACATACATAAATTCCCAGCCATACCATAATTCCAAACCTCCTCAACTCTTTTCTCCATTTCCCACCAACTCTTTTGGAAGGGCTGTCTCCACCCTTTCTCATCTGCCTGTCACTCTTCACCCAATCGTAGTGAGGCTTCTACCCGTGCTGTGTCACCCAGTCAGCCCAAATGGCCACAAGGCCACCATTGCCTCTTCTGCATTCAGCAATGTGGAGAGGCTTGCCCAGTTCAACCTCTGGGGCACCTGATGGCATTCCTCCGCTCCGTTCATCCACTCACTATCCACCAGTGTCTATTACTATGACAGGCACCGTTCTAGGCACTGAGGACACGGCCGTGGACAAACCAGACAAATACCCTGGCCCTTCGACAGCTTACATTCTCCCTCTGTGTTGGGAGGGTATCCTCTCCTGGTTTTAGAGATACCAGCTCTTGTTCTTCTACTTAGGGTCCTTTTCTAGCAATGGGTTATTCTCTGGGGACTTGATCTTTTTACTTTTAATTTTTATTGATTTAATTATAAAATTGAGATGAGGTCTTGATGTGTTGCTCAGGCTGGTCTTGAACTCCTGGGCTCAAGTGATCCACCCACCCCAGCCTCCCAAAGTGCTGGGATTACAGTGTGAGCTACCACGCCTGCCTTACTCTTCATTTCTCTTTTTATTCCACAGTCTCCCTAGAAGATCTTCCTCCGCTGTGTGGATACCAGTGACTAGCTCTCAACTTTTCTCCAGCCTGGGTCTAAGAAACAGACCCACACATGCAGGTGCCTCCTGCACATCTCCAGCTGTGTCACCCACGTCTCCATTCCTGCACATCCCATGGCCACCTCTCAGCTCCTGGCACACCTGCTCCTTCTTCAAACCACACATCACCAGATACCTAGAAACCACTTTTAAACCCTTCTCTGTTGCCCTCGCACGGAATTGATGACCAAATCCTGTCCATTCTTCCTCTGAGGGTTTGCTTTTATGTCACTAGTGCAACGGCAACTTCCATGGTTTCCCGTCTCTAGTCTCACATTCTTAGGTCTACCCCTCCATACCAGACGCCTGAGTCATTTCCGTACAATGCAAGTCTGATCACGTCTGCCTTGGGCAGTGGGTTCCTATTGTCTTCATCCTGAAGTCCATGCTCCCTAGCTCCCCCTCCCCACCCCCACCACCCCTTCTGACTATGCCATGCCATACTTACAGGGCCCTTTGTGGTCTGGCTCTTGCCTACCTTGTTGACCTCCCCAACCTTCCCCCTCCTCCTGTTCACTCTAGTGACACACTAAACTACTCATGCTTTACTCATGCCAGGCTTTCTCTCTTCTGGGCATTTTACTTTGCAGGCCCCCTGCTCACCCCAACCCTGTTCTGTTTCTGGAAAACACCTTCTCTGTCCTGACCTTAGAGTCCTAGTTCTGTCATTAACTCACTATGAGATCACAGTCAAGACATCACTCAGTCCAGTACTGTCAACCTTGGCTGCACAGTTGAATTGGTGGGGAAGCTTTTAATTGAATGCCCAAACAGCATCCCAGACCAATTAAATCAGAATCTGGGGGTGTCCTGGAAACCCTAGTGTGCAGCGAAGTGGAGAGCTCAGCCTCCCTCTGTTTCCTCCCAGCCTGTCTTACAGACTTTCCATTTGTAAGGATTCCCAAAGGGAGCCAGTTCTGAAGCACACACTTCGGCAAGAGCTGTCAAGAGCACTTAGCAAATGCAGGGCTTGGGGCTGGTCCAAACATGGGCCCACGGTCGCCATGCCCGGCAAACTTGGAAAAGTCCTGTCACCTCCACGGCAGCTGAGCATGACTCAGCAGGCCAAGCCTTCCTGGTGACTTGCTCCTTGGCATCGGGCATGGCCCACAGCCCATAGTGCCTATTTGGAAAAAAGCCCAGCTAACTCCAGACACTACCTGGTTCCCCCAAACAGGCCCCTAATCTTTGGGAGTCACCACACTCACTTTCTAGCCGCATCCGTCTAGACAAGAAATGTGGTCCTGACGTGAGGACTGCCCACTCATTTGGTCCTCTCTGAGAAGGTACAGATTTTTAAACTGGCAAGGCGGCTGGTTAGGAAGACCGCCTGCAGCCATGGAAATAAAGAGCTTGGCTTCTGACTCCAACATTCAGTAGCTTTGTGACCTTGGGCCTGTCGGTCATTTCATCTGCCTGGACCTCCGTTTCTGGGTCTATAAAATGGAAATCACCACCCAATCTCATAAACACAAGCAAAATGCCTGGTACAGAGGAAGGGCTCAGTTAGTTTCCTTTCCTGTCCCTATCCCCTACCCCCTTTTCTTCTTCTCTCCTCCTTAATGCAAGTAGGCTGGGCTGGAGGAGATGATCTAGGTCCCTTCCCATCCTGACATTCAAGTAAACAAGTGAGGACAGATCTAGGATGCACGGTAGGGAGGAGGAAGCCAGCACAGACCTTCACCCCCTGCGGCTCCCTAGGGCAAGACGCCATTTCTGCTTTGACTGGCACAGGGCCTTCAGGGAGAGGACGCAGTTTCAACCTACAATTGGATGCCTTAAAAGGAAGTGCACTGCCTGTGGATGGGTATGAGTGCAGGCTCAAGGACCACCTGGCAGGCAGGTGTTGGATACCAGCTGTCTCTGACTAGCTGGGTGATACTGGGCAGGTTTCCTCTCCCTGGCCATTTCCCACACCTGCAGACTGGGAGTGGTGCCTGTTGCCTACAGTGCTGCAGTGAGCATCAAGTGAGACAAGCCCATGAAAACCGTCTGCAGCCCCAGAATGCCATGGAAATGCAGCATTATTGTATTGCGCTTTGTTCTGAGTTTATTATATCATCAAACACATTATTATACGACTGAGTTGGGTGGAGGGTTGGTCAAGAGGCCCTATAAAAGACCCCAGGATTCTGTGGGACCTGAGATTCTAGAATTCTGCCGCCCTAAGATTCCAAAGCAAGAGACGAGTCTCTGACATTGTCAGGGCCAGAAAATTGGCTGGAGAGGCAGACAGTGCGTTGATGTAAATGACTCTAATTCAGGTGGTGGCATGAGACCGTGGGCATGTGTGATGTGCAACAGAGCAGGCTCGTGTCCATAAGCCAACGATGGCATAGTACTCACCTTCTGGGGGGCATTGATGACTCCAGTGTTGTAGCCAAACTGCAGGGAGCCAAGCACTGCTCCTCCCACGGCCAGCATGAGGCGACCCGTCAACTTCTGCAGAGAAACAAACCACACTGTTATAGGCGTGTCTGGGCCCAGGTTACTATAGGGCAGGGCCTGGACTGGCAGGTTCCTGTGTTCAGGTATCTTGCCTGACTCCTGGCACCACACCAGTCTTTCTCCCAGGAAACTTGGCCTATTCCCGACCTCAGGTGCCCAAACCAGCCTAGCTGACTTCGAGACACTGGGCTGGCCGACCATTTCCTGGGGAGAGAGGGGAAGTATGGTCTTCTCTCTCTGTAGCCAGGTCTCAGAGAGGCAGAGGCTTCGGATTCGTGGGGGTCTCATTTCCCTGGTGAAGCCATGCCTGGGGTCTGGTGGTTCTAGACTCTCTAACTGGGAGGCCCAGGAACCAACCCTCCTATGTGAGGGGGCCCAAATTACTTGGTAGGAGTAGCACAGATATAGGAGAAACAACCTGGATTTGGAGCTGAAGGCGCTGGCTTCTGATTCCAGCCCATCGGCCTGTTTGCTCTGTGAATTCCAGCTAAGTCCCCCTTGCACCACTTCTCCCCTGTCTTCCATTGGATGGTCAGCAAAATGGCAACAGCTTCGTTTGTCACATTGGAGATGTGATCCCACCTTGCCCTGACCTTCCTGCTGTTCACAGGGCAGGAAACTGAGCCCTGAGAGGGTGAGGCAAGTTCCAGATCACTCAGGAGTCTGTGGCAGAGAGCTCAGGGCTCCGGACTCCCTACCCAGTGCTCCTGACGGCAACAATCCCCAAACCATAAGGCTTCCAAGGTTATTTGGACATAGATGACATGCTAGGCAGGAATGCACTTTGGAAAAGTGCACAAGGTGAGTAAGAGTGTTGGGCCAAGGTGTTTCCAGTGGGCAAAGGGCTAGGAGAGAAAAAGGGCAGTTTGCTTCTATCCACTGGAAGCTGAGGACATGAGGCAGCAGGAAGGGCAGAGGCCAGCAGGTGAAGAGCCCTGCTTAGCCACAGGTGACTGAGAGGCCAGTGGGATGTCCGCCTTGCTGGAGAAAAGTACTCTTTTCAGCTATAAAAATGAGGAAGTCAGGAAATGTGACATTAGGCAGGCCTTTAACTGATTGTGGGAGAACAGGGCTGTGGGAGGCACACCAAAGAAATGACTGGCATTCACTACGCACACCACACCAGACTGGGCACTGGAAGTGAGTGGAGCTGGCCACGGCCTGCCTGTGGGTTTCTGGGCCTCGGTTTCCACAGAACCCAGAAGCACCCTTTACTTCAAGATCTTCACAGATAGCCCTGGGCGTAGCTGTTATCAGGCATATTCCCAGTATGGTCTTTTCATTCTCTGGAAGCTGTCAGTCAGGGCAACGATTGCAAAAGCCAAGGCTCTCACATCAGAGGCTGCGAAAGAGGAAGAAGATTTGGCCCAGGAGGAGCGTACAGCTCAGAGCCCCCTCTGTGTGTGCGTTGTGTCCTTCCTTCCCATTAGTCTGACCCCTTAGCCTGCCTCTGGACATTTATTCCACATGCTGGGGCTTCCCTCATACCACAGGGACTCCATTCTCTCTAAGTTCTCTGCATTGCCCAACTGGAAAGACAGCCCCTCCCCCAGTATGTCCTGGCACTGCCCCGAGTCTCCCTCTCTCAAGTCTCTGGGGAGCCTTCAGGCCCAGAGCTGTTGTTCTGAGTGGGTGGTGAGCAGCTGACAAACTTCTGGGGGATCCCAGTGACACACCAGGTCAAGTCTAACTCATAGGGTGGACACTGGGATTAAATCAGAGGCTGTGGCAAGGCACTAAGCATCACCAGGACGGTTCACTAAACAGCGACTGCTAGGCCCACCACGTGCTGGGCTTTCTGCCTGCGGAATTACCTGCATTTGGCTTATGGGATGCAAAGTATATACTGTATTTTTCTGGAACACATTAGAATAGATTAAAAACAAGCAATGCAGCGACATCAATCTATGATTTCAGAAAACGTGGCGTGGCACAGTTATATAATGGAATACATAACCTGGGGGTTCGAGGCCGCAGTGAGCTGTGATCACCCCATGGCACTTCAGCTTGGGTGACAGAGTGAGACTCTGTCCCAAAAAACAAAAGCAAAACCAAAAACAGAGCAGTGTGTATATTGTATGCTCCCTTTTGTGTTTTAAAAAAAAATTGGCTGGGGGTAGAAGGAGAATATACACATCTATTTAAAAGAATGCACAAGAGGCTGGGCACGGTGGCTCACACCTGTAATCCCAGCTTGAGGCCAGGAGTTCAAGACCAGCCTGGCCAACATGGCAAAACCCTGTCTCTACTAAAAATACAAAAATTAGCCGGGCATGGTGGTGTGTGCCTGTAGTCCCAATTACTTGGGAGGCTGAGGGACACGAATCACTTTGTCTGGGAGATGAAGTGAGCTAAGATGGCGCCACTGCACTGCACTCCAGCCTGGGCAACAGAGCAGACTCTGTCTAAAAAAAAAAAAAAGAAAAAAAGAATGTACAAGAAAGGTGACATTCTAACCCGGGGGGCCTGGGTGACTGGGGACAGGGTGAAAGGGAGATTTCATTTTATAGCCTTTGGCACTTTTTTGAATTCTGAATGGTGTGAATGGAATCACCTATTCAAAATAAATTTTACAAGCCCTATGACTTCATATTACTTAGAACAAAGCAATTTAAATAAAAACATAATTTAAATAAAAACATTTTTTGTTTAAATAAAAACAAAAAAATTTAAATAAAAACATGTTGGCAGAGTATGAGTGAATGACACTGGCCGTGTGAGGCAAGTGCTATTATCACAGGCCCTGTTTTACTGGGGTCTGCATCCGATGTTCCAGGGGTCTGGAGCCTCTGAAGTCATCCCTGGGGCCCCACTGAGCAGCTGCTCAATTTTTAGCCTCTGGCAATGGGGGCTGCTGGGGTCCAAGGACATACCCCTCTGCTGGACCTTGTCATCGGCAGGTCGAGGTCAAACTCCACTTTAGAAAACCTGCCTACCCACACCCTGGATCACATCCACATCCACCCAGGCAGCTGCGGCACTAGGACTCACTAAAATACCAGTGACCTATGCTCCAGGTCTCATGCTAAGTGAGGCTGGGGCCCCGGATGAAACTGGACCCAGTCCTGACACCAAGGAAGGGGTTTCCAGTCCAGTGGGGTGGGGGCAGTGGGGAGGCAGATGAAGATGAGTGGCTAGTGTGGTCTTGGCTTCAACAGGAGGCTGGTATGAGGCACTGTGAGAACCCTGGAGGGAAAGATTTCCAGTTTTGCCTGGGTACAAAAAAAGATGAGCTCCCAGGAGGTGACACTGGAGCTGGGCCGTGAAGGACACACAGAGAGTCTGCCAAGTGGGAAAGCAGTGGCAAGGCTACATTCCAGGTGGACAGAACAGTATGTGCAGGGGGAAGAAATGGGGACCGATCGGTCAGATTAAGAAACAGGGTGCTCAGTGTGGCTCAGTGCTAGGTGTAGGGGGAGGGACATGGCCCCTGCTCCTCAGTAGGCACACAATGACACTGCAACCAATCTCAGATTCATGCTCCCCTCCTGCTGCGTCCACCATAGCCGGCTTGATCACTGCTGGGCTTGGAAGCTGACCCACGTTTAAATGCAGCAAGCTGCCTCCTTTCACCTTGGAGTGGGATACAAGGTAGCCCTGCTTTGGGCCTTGGTTTCCTCACCTAGAAAATGGAGATGAAAGTTCCTTCCTTAAGGCATTGCTGTTAAGTTTTCTATCAGTATCCATTACGAAGCCTGGCAGAATTCCCTCCACAAGTATTTGCTGGAGCAAGGAAGAAGAGCAAGCTACCCTTGACGGGGCAACCTCAGCACCATCTGCCCCCACCAGCCAGTGGCTGGAACTGGAACATGGTAACGAAGTCCATTCACTCAACGTGTATTTATTCTGGTGTCTGTCAAGCTGATGAACAGTTGGTGATGACTTAGAGAAGGGTACTAGCCCCAGAGAGCTTGTGATTTTCTTGTGGGAGCCTTTTTTACCGGTGGGGAGCAATCTACAGCCCAGAATCTGGGATCCCCAGCAGCCCATCATCACTCCCTGGGGATAAGACTACTTTCTAGAACATTCCATTCTCTTCCAGGCCTTTGCTCTTGCTATGTCCTCTACAGTCTCTAGCTTATTACTCATCTGTCACTCAGTTTGGGAACTCCTTAAGAATAGAACCAGGGGCAGGACGCAGTGACTCACGCCTGTAATCCCAGCACTTTGGGAGGCCAACATGGGTGGATCACTTGAGTTCAGGAGTTCAAGACGACGAGCCTGGGCAACATGGTGAAACCAGGTCTCCACTAAAATTACAACAACAACAACAAAATAGCCAGATATGGTGGCACACATCTGTATCCAGCCACTCAGGAGGCTGAGGTAGGAGGATCACCTGAGCCTGGGAGGCAGAAGTTGCAGTGAGTCATGCCACCTTACTCTAGCCTCGGCAACAGAGTGAGAAAAAAGAAGAATGGAACCTGGGTCATACTGTGTCTGCAGCCAGAATGGCCAGAGGGGGGAACAGCACATACAAATTGCAAAACAAAGAAAACCTGCCACTTTTCAATTTAGCTTTTAGGCAAAGCTGGCTCTGTGTGTATCTGTTGTGCCAGACCAGTGTTCATCCTCGGCCATTATCAAACCCCTGGAGAGTGCTGGACTATCAGAGCTCTGAGAGGTGAAAACAGCATCCCCCAAAACCCTCCACTCCAAACCCACAGGGCTGTTGAGGAAAGACCTCTGAAGTCAGGCAGACCGAGTTCAAATCCTGACTCTCCTAACAGAGTCATGACCTCTCAGCTTGGCCAGCGCCTGGGCTCAGGGTCCAGCACAGAGAAGGATTTCTCATGTCCCTACCCCTCACCCTCCCTATCCCACTGCTGGGGGTCTCACGACCCACAAGAGACCTCCCTCTC